TTTTCAAGAGTCTCATATGCATGTGAAAGTTGGACAATGGATAAGAAAGACAATAGAAGAATCGATGCATTTGAATTATGGTGTTTGAGAAGAATATTAAAAATAACATAGACTGCCAATAGAACAAGCAAATCTGTGTTGGAAGAAGTGCAGCCAGAATGCTCTTTAGAAACCAGGATAGTGAGACTTTGGACATGTTATCAAGAGGGAACAGTGCTCGGCGAAAGACATCATGATTGGTAAAGTGGAGAAGCAGTGAAAAAGAGGAAGACTCCCAATGATATGGACTCATACAGTGTCAGCAACAATGGGCCCAAACACAACATTTGTCAGCATGGTTCAGGACTGCACAGTGCTTTGTTCTGTTGTGCATAGGGTTGCTATAAGTCAGAACCAACTTGATGACACATTATGAACACTATCAGAATATATAAAAACTCTTACAGTTTAACAGTAAAAAGACAACCCTATTTAGAATAGGTTAAAGGGTTTAAATAGTATTTGGTGGTGGTGGTGTGCCTTGGAGTTGGTTCTGATTCCTAGCAACACTGTATAGGTTTCCAAGACTGCAGACAGTCTCGTCTTTCTCCTGAGGAACAGGTGGTAGTTTTGAACTGCTGACTTTGAGGTTAGCAGCACAACTTGTAACCATGATGCGACCAGAGCTCCTTTAAACAGTAATTAGTGAAATAAAAAACCTCAAGGAGACACCACATCACACTCTTTGGGATGTTTCTAATGAAAAAGATGATGTAGAGAAATTGGAACGTCATTTACTGCTTTTGGGAATATAAAATGGTGCAGTCGTTGTGGGAAACAACTTGGCAGTTCCTCAGAAAGTTATATGACCCAGCAATTCCACCCCTACATATATACCCCAAATAACTTAAATATATATGTCCACAAAAATTATTCCTAGTAGTCCCAAAGTAGAAGCAACCCAAATGCTCATCAATGGATTGTTGTTGTTATTGTTAAGTGTTGTTGAGTTGGTTTTGACTCATAGCAACCCTGTGTAGGGTTTCCAAGGAGTGGCTTGTGTGTTTGAACTGCTGACCTTGCAGTTAGCAGTCTAGTGCTTATTCTACAGTGCCACACTAGAATGAATTGATAAACGTAGTATTGTCTCCATACAATGGAATATTATTCTGTCAGAAATGATGACACTCTAATATATGCTGGTGGTCCTGTAGGATAAGCACTGGACTGTTGGTTCAGTTTGAACCATAAGGTCATTGGTTCAAACTTACCAGGCGCTCCTCAGAAACCCTCCTCAGGGTAGCTATGAGTCAGAATCAACTCGACAGCACTTTAACAACTATAACAATATATGCTATCATATATTATTGGTACCAGGAGTTCTGGTGTGGTGCTGTAGGATAAGCACTGGACCTCAAGGTTGGTTTGGATTGTAAGGTCAGTGGTTCAAACTCACCATTTGCTCCTCAGAAACCCTATACGGGGTTGCAATGAGTCGGAAACAACTCGACACCACTTAATAACAACAATAATTGTATACACTTCTGGTGTGGCAATGTAGGATCAGGACTGGACTGCAAACCACAAGGTTAGCAATTCAAACCCATCAGCTGTTCCTCGGAAATCCTATACAGGGTCGCTATGAGTCACAACTGACTCTACGGCACTTAACACCAACACCAACAATATATGCTACAACTACAATATGGCTGAACCTTGAAAACATGCTAAGTGATAGAAAACTACATATTATGTGCTTTCATTTATATGAAATATCCACAATAGGCAAAACCAAAACTACAGAAAGTGACTTAGTGATTGCCAGGTACTGCAGAGTGGGGAGAATTGGGAATGTCTTCTCATGGGGATAGGGTTTTTTGTTTTTTTATAAAAAATGTTTTATTGTGAATTATATGATAGTTTACATGAGAGAACCTCAGTTCCATATTCATTCCATCGTATATCGTTACATTACCATGGTTCCAATCCCCTCCATGCATTGTCTTCCAAACAAAGGGCATATCCTAGAAGCCCGTGCTCTACACTCCCCGCTACCCCCTCAGTCTTCAGCCCACAGTTCCTCTCCCTCTCTGGATCCAAAGTCCCCAGCCGCTTCATCCCTCCATGTCATCATCTCTGTCCCCATCTCAGGCATCCCCGCTTCTCTGGGTGGGGTCCCGTTCTCGAGGGTATAGGGTTTTGCAAAGGGGCTATGAAGAAATGTTTTGGAATTAGATTGTTGTTGCATAACTCTAGGAGTTCTGGTGGCACAGTGGTGAAGTGCTTGGAAGCTAACCAAAAGGTCAATGATATGTACCCACCAGTTGCTCCATGGGAGAGAAATGTGGAGTCTGCTTCTGAAAAGTTACAACCTTGGAAACCATATGGAGCAGTTCTACTCTGACCTATAGGGTTGCTATGAGACAGAATCAACTTGGTGGCAACAGGTTTGTTTTGCACAACTCTGTGAAATATGAAAAACCATTTAGTGATACACTATGAAAGGATGAATCGTATAGTGAATTATAAACCCAAACAACACCAAGCATGTTGCTGTCACGTTGCTTCAGAGAGTAGAACTACCCCATAGGACTTTCAAGGCAGTTCTCTACTAGAAGGCGCTCTGGTAGTGTGGTTGTTGGTGGTTATGTGCTGTGGAGTTGGTTCCAACTCATAGCGACCCTGTATATGATTTCCAAAGCTGTAAATCTTTATGGGAGCAGAAAGCCTCATCTTTCTCCCTCAGAACAGCTGGTAGTTTCGAACTGCTGAACCTGAGGTTCGCAGCCCGATTCGTAACCACTGTGCCACCAGAGCTCCTTTCTGAGGCTTTTTTTTCTTCGCCAGCTGTGAGAGATCTTTCAGCAATTGAAGACTAATCCTTACTGGTGCTATTTTCCATGTCGGCCTTTGTTCACCACCCTAGAATTTAGAAGCTCATGCTGGCCACTAGCTTGTATACACCCCAGGCCAGTGAGTGTAGAGTGCATGAATGCATTGTTCAATCATTCATTCCAGAATTTCCTCTAAATCTGACTTTATGAAGACAGGCTGGTGGTTTGTGCAAAGTGATGTTCTTTCTCCTTGTGACCACAGCTTGTCCTGTACTTCCTCTTACAACAACTTGCACCCCATCTGATGATTGCCAAGAGGTCCAGATCTGAGCTGAGTGGGTCTCCTTCCCAGTTTCAGGCTGCTCAATGTCCCCCTCCCTCTGCTAGAGGAATCAGTGCTACATAGGACATTTTGAGTCACACACCCTGGTAACTTCCACAGTAGCAGTTCTGGGGCACAATGACCCTGGGAAGGACTGGACTTCGCATGTTGAATGCTTCTAGGGCCTGAGAACCTTCAGGAGGACAGCAGGATGCTGGGGTCCCAAACCCTACCCACCACCCACCTATCTGTCATGAGTCAGGGCGAGGGCTCAGTGAACATGCTGGGAAACGCTGGCTGGTTTAGACATAGCTCTGGGAATCGCCTTCAGAAAGAGCTAGCCCATGAGAAACTCCTCCTGGGACACGCTGGTGTGGCTGCTTGTCTAGCCACTGCCCTTGCCACATACCCAGCCTGCCCCTGTCCTCTTGCCATCTAAGCCCTGTCCTGACGGTCTCACCCTGTGACTGCACTTGTCACCTTCAGTAGCCATTGTACAACTGTTTGTGCTTGTTCATGGGCACGGGCTGTCCTGGTCACTGGCATCACACCACCTGACTTGTGGCTGGCAGTTGAGGATAATGTTTTTTCATGGGTGAGCTAACCTTCCACAGTAAACAGTGGCTCAAGGTCACAGGCAGAGTTAAAGCTCCAGCTGCCGTGGAGAAGTGTGGGAGCCCAAGCTGCAGGTGTGAAAGTGACACCTCCAAGTCACAGGGCCATCATGGGTGTCCTGAATGTTGGGGACCTGACCTTCACCCCCCTGCCCCTAGATGATAGGACCTGAGGACTGGCTTCAGGGCAAATAAGAAAGCACTGGGTACCTGCTAAGGAGTCTGGTGGTATTATGGGTTAAGTATTGGGTTGCTAATGCAAAGTCAGCAGTTCAAACCCACCAGCCACTCCTTGGGAGAGCAATGAGGCTGTCTGCTTTCGTAAAGATTTAGAAACCCTAAACAGGTCACTATGAGTCAGAATCATCAATTTGACGGCAGTGGTTTTAATTTTGGTTTGTGCACCACCTGGGGCAGATCTCAAGGGATCACATCCACCTGTATCCTTGAGTGGATTCAGATCATGTCTCCTGTTTGGAAAAGTTGGGGGGCTATAGAAAACGATTTAGGGATGGACATGTTATGAAGTAATCTCCCTTTAGGATGGAAGAGGTGAAAGAAAATTTTTGTTCTCTGGTAGCTCTGAGAGGCATCAGGCCTTCATAAAAGACCCTTGGTCCTGGGGTCAGTGTCCTTTCCTCTACTCCAACTTGGTTTCTGGGGTAGTTGGTCACTGTGGAGGGGCCACATTAACCCCATCAGAGTGCTCCTACACGCTTAGCAGAGTGTCTGGTTCAGTGGTGGTGTTGGGGACTTTTTTTTTCTCATGTGCTTTCTCTCAATTTGAAGTGTATCTAACAATAACAGACATCGTATTTTTCAGAGGGCACAGGGTTTTAATCTGCCTGGTCCATACTGAGTTTGTTTATGAATGACTCCAGTGACCTAAGAGTCTGGTGGGGAGGAGACACTTGTAAGAAGGAAGCAGGTGTGGGTTGGAATAACCTGAGTAGTAGAGGGGCTGGAGGGTGGGTAGAGGTGAGACAGGCTTAACTAGAGAGGAGGGGTCAGCCACCAGCAACCTCCCAGGGCTTCTGGGGACTGGAAAGAAGGCATCCCTCTCATTAGGGTCCTCTGGGAAGCACCAGTTGGATGTCACAGTGTGAAGGGGCAGTGGGCATTAGGACTGCTCCCAGCTAGGGCTGTGGTATGTAGGTCGGTTCCTTTTCTTAACACGAAACAGCGCAGTCTGCCTATGGTGTGAGTGTGCTCTGGATCTGAGCCTCTTTCCTCACCGGTTCGCCCCCGCAGATATTCAGAGTTTCTCCAGCGCGGAGAAGGACGGTCGCATCGTCGGTGAGATTGCCTTCCAGCTGGACCGGCGCATTCTGGCCTACGTCTTCCCTGGTGTGACGCGACTGTACGGTTTTACGGTATCCAACATCCCGGAGAAGATTAAGCAGGTTAGGGAAAGCTCCACCTGTCCCAGAGGTCCTGCACTGTGTCCACAGTCACCTGCAGGGCCCCTGGCCCTGGTCGCTGAGGCTGCAGGAAGGTGTCCTTGGTGCGCGTGCGCGTCGCACGAGGAAGCTGGCTTAACGGATAGTGTATGTCACTGGCTCTGACCCCAGACAGCTTCACGAAGGATCACGGGCCCAAAGTGAGGGCGCTTTGCGATGTGGTTCTCTAAAGCAAGTCGCCACCAGAGATACCGGTTCTGTTTCTCCTTCCGGACTTGTAGGCTACAGGGGAAATTGGGAGACTCAGCCTGGTCGTGGGTCAGCTCTAGGTCTCCTTTCCCCATCTAAGCAACTCCTTTAATGTAAGGCCCTGGAGCTTAGGTGTCCTGCACTAGCACTCTCCTTCACATAGGGTGTCACTGGGGAGCAGAGAAGGCAGTTGGACTGGCCCAAGGCCACTCAGACCACCGAGGCAGTGGGAGTTGGCTCAGGCCACCCTGACCCTGGAGTCCTGGTGTGGCGCTGTGTGTTTGCCAGATTGCAAAGCCGTTTGAACTGCAAGGTCGGTGATTCAAGGTCACCAGCCGCTCCTCGAAAACCCTATACAGTGTTGCTTTGGGTCAGAATTGACTCAATGGCACTTAACAACAATAACCCTGACCCTAGGGTTTTAACACTTGATATTTTCTGTCACACTGTGTTGTGTGAGCTCAGTGCCTTTTAGGGCCAACCAGTGCTGGGGGTGGGAGACCCATTTCAGGCACCACCCGCACCTTATCTACCTCACTGTTTTCATCTCCCTGAAGTCCACTCTTCTTCCCACTGTACTCCTTGCCCCCTGTGAAGTCTTCCCCTCCCTACTCCTGTGTCTCTGCTCCCTGCCCCTGCTCCAAGCTGTCTCTCTGTCTCTTCCCGAGTTGTCCCCACCTCACACGTCCCCCGCTGTCCCCCAGACCTCCATCAAGTCGCTGGACGGCTCAGTGGATGAGAAGAAGCTGCGAGAGCTGACGCACCGTTACCTGACGCTGACAGCGCGCTTGGAGAAACTGGGTTACAACCGCGACGTGCACCCAGTGTTCAGCGAGTTCCTCATCAACACCTACGGCATCCTGAAGCAGCGGCCAGACCTGCGCGCCCACCCTCTGCACAGCAACCCGGCCGCCCTGCGCAAGCTGGTCATCGATATCGTGCCACCCAAGTTCCTGGGCGACTCGCTGTTACTGCTCAACTGCCTCTGTGAACTCTCCAAGGAGGACAGCAAGCCGCTCTTCGCCTGGTGAGCGCCGCCGCGCCCCTCTACCGCCGCCTCCTCCGCAATAAACGTGTTTGTTCAAACCCGGGCGGCGCTCCTCCTGCGAGTCCCGGGGCACTGTCGCCACGCAGCTACGGCCTCTGAGCGCCCAGGCCGGGAGCAGCGCCTGAGGACGCGGGTCTTCTGAGCGCCTCGCCCGCCGCGCATCCCGCGCCCGGCCGCCGCCGCTCACAGGGCGCAGCAACACTTGTAGCACTTTATTAAAATCCTCTGTTTTATTTCTCTGCTTCCCGTAGCCTCTCTGCTCTTTGAGGCGCACTGAGCGCCGGTGCTGCTGTGCACTCCGGTGGCGCCAGTTTGAGATTGTGGAAGGAAGCTGCGAGGAGGAAGGAGCCTTGGGGGCGGCTCAGATCAAGTTCCTCTCTTCCCAACTTCTAGGACTCTGCACCTCCTGCCTTCCTATCAGAGGAAGCTGGCGCAGCAGCATCTTTTTAGTCTCTCCCTAGGTCTGTGTGATGGTCCTAGGTGGGTTTCCCTAAACGCAGAATCTGAGGCAAGGATTTGGCTGCGTGTAGGACTCACCACCTAATCAGGGAAGTACCATGAAACATAATTTGCCATGAGTGGGGTGCTCAAAAATTAGTACTTAGAAGGCGGAAAAAAACAGAGTCGGCCTTCTGAGTGGGTGGATGGGGGCTCTGTGGACTGTCTGGGTGTTTCCCTAGTGAAGACTGCTTGGGTGCATGTTGTCTCTGGTGGGAGGTAGCGGGAGAGACATGGGAGCGGGAACTCAGAACTTGTTACGTAGGACAAACAGGTTAGCATTACTCGGCCATGTGCCTCAGGAATTGGGCCTGGAGTCTTTATCCAGCATTTCCACTCTCTCATACACTATTTCCCCTCACTGTCCTAGTCCTTCGGCCACATTAGGAGCTTGCTGGTCTGGTGACCTCAGTGACCTGGGGCTGAATGGGTGCTGTGGGTGAGCAACCTTCACCGGTTGGGTGGCGCTGGGATGACATCACCTTCATCCAGGTTTTCTCAACAAGGTAGAGGCAGGGATGGTACCCTTGGTGGTGGTCTTCCACTTCCTGCTGCCTGTCCTCAGAGCCTTGAGATCTGATGGAGACAACAGGGAAGCCAGGGCAAAGAGCAGGGTCTCCTCATGTTTATCAGCAGCTTAGAGCCAGCTTAGAGAGGTGGAGGGGTGGAAGTGGGGACTTGGAGGTCTTGTTTTATGGGGGAAAAGCCAGATTGTGGAGTCATTTGCTGCCAAAGCCCTTTGGGTGCAGGCTTGACTGGGGGCAAGGAGGGGGAGAACCTCGGTTCTTGGAAACCATGCTGTGCCAGGGTCAGTGAGAGAGGGAGCAACTGGGAGGCTCTGATTCACTGCCCTAGTGGCCTTCCCAGGAGGGTCATCCTGAGGAGCTGTGAGGTCCCAGCAGCAAGAAGGACAACATCCAAGTCAAGGCTACCAGTGGGGAGGACAAAACCATATTTCTTTCTGTTATATAAATAGGAGGAAAGGCACATGGTGGATTAGAGAGACCCAGACAGCAGTTCTACATTTTATGTCCCCTTGGGGGCCAAAGGTCAGTCAGGTGTTCGAAATATATCCCCTTCTACGGTATGCGACACCTTATTAGATGGATTGGCCAAGTGGCAGCATCGATGGACTCAAGTATGGCAATAGTAGTGAGGTTGGCCCAGGATCCGGCAGTGTTTCGTTCTGCTGTGCATAAGGTTGCTATGAGTCGGTACCAACTTGATGGCACCTAACAACAACAACAACAACAACAAAGTGTGCGACGAGTTTGTATTCTTTCACCATACTTATTCAACCTGTATGCAGAGCAAATAATCCGAGAATCTGGGTTAAATGAAGAAAAACATAGCATCAGGATTGGAGGAAGACTTATTAAGAACCTGTGATGTGCAAATGATACAACCTTGCTTGCTGAAAGTGAAGAGGATTTAAAACATTTACTGATGAAGATCAAAGAGCACAGCCTTCAGTAAGGATTACATCTCAATGTAAAGAAAACAAAAATCCTCCCCAATGGACCATAAACAACATTCTTATCAACGGAGAAATTATTGAAGTTGTCAAGGACTTAATTCTTGGATCACAGAAGCAGCAGTCAAGAAATCTGACGATGTATTGCATTAAGCAAATCTGCTGCACAAGACCTTTTTAAAGTGTTGAGGAGCAAAGATGTCAGCTTGAGAACGAAGGTGCGCCTGACTCCTCCATGGTATTTTTAATAACCTCATATGCATCTGAGAGCTGGACAGTGAATAAGGAAGACCGTAAAAGAATTGATGCCTTTGAGTTATGGTGTTGGAGGAGAATATTGAAAGTGCCACGGGATGCCAAAAGAACCAATAGATCCGTTTTGGAAGAAGTGCAGCCAGAGTGCTCCTTGGAGGCCAATATGACCAAACTTTGTCTCTCATACTTAGGACATTTTGTTAGGAGGGACTAGTTGCTGGAGAAGGGGAGCGGCAGCATCAATTGATTCAAGTGTGGCAACAGTAGTGAGATTGGCCCATGATTGGGGAGTGTTTTGTTCTGCTGTGCATAAGATCGCTATGAATCGGTATTGACTCGATGGCACCTAACAACAACAACAACTATATGAGAAGGTACTAGGTTGTCTGAGGTAGCTGGGCTGACTTCGTACTGCTCCAGTCAGAGCTGGAATGGGAGTTGCCTGAAGTCCTGGGACATATATTTATATATCAAACATATACCAGGGGCTTCAAAAATTATGGGAAACTTCTATTTTAATTCCATGAATTTTTGAAGCACGTTTGTACTTATATATGGAGTCCCTGGATTGTGCAAAGTGTTAATGCTGCTAATCTAAAGATTGTACTTCAGGAAAAAAGCCTAGTAATTTACTTCCAATGAACCAGCCACTGAAAACGATGGTGCAGATCTACTACATATTTGCTATTTTAATAAGTTAAGTGCATAATCCTGACACTATTACATATACCATGTTCTACAATGGTCACCACTATCTATCCTTAAACGTCTTCATCACCCCCAACAGAAACTTTGTACCGTTAACAGCCACACTCATTCCCCTTCCCCTGGTAACTACTACCCTATGTTCTGTCTCTATGGATTTGCCTATTCTAGATGTTTTATGTAATTGTGATCCTTCAATATGAGGGTAAGTAAAAAAGTATTGCTACTAGAGTTCCAATTTGTACTTGCATGGGTTTATTCAAAACAGCTGGTAAGCTCAAACTACCAACCTTGGTAGTTTGCAGCCCAGTGCTTATTATACAAAGTATATATAGGTTTACAGTTCCTCTATTAACATCTTACATTATATGATACATTTGTTACAGTCAATGAGGAAATACTAACATTATTATGAACTAAATTCCTCATTTCCTTCCTAATGTCTTTTTTTTTGGACCCAAGATCCATCTAGACACCACATTTCGTTTGGTTGTCATGTGTCTTAAGCTCCTCTGCACTGTACTGGTTTCTCAGTGTCCTTGTTTTTGATGACCTTAACAGTTTTGAGTTATTTTGAGTTATGGTGTTGGAGAAGAATAGTAAAAGTACCAGAAAAGCAAACAAATCCGTGATGAAAGAAGTTCAACCCAAATGCTCCTTAGATGTGAAGATGGCCAGACTTTGTCTCTCTTACTTTAGTCATCTTTTCAGGAGATGTCCCTGGAGTAGGACATCATGCTTGGTAAAGTGAGGGGCAGTGAAAAAGAGGGAGACCCCCAATGAGATGGACTGACACAGTGGCATCAACAGTGGACTCAAGCATAGTGGCAATTGTGAGGATGGCTCAGGACCAGGAGTTACTATGGATTGGAACCAACGTGATGGCACCTAACAACAATGGACATTTTTGAGGTTCTAGTCAGGTATTTTGTAGGATGCTCTTCTATTTGGACTTGTCTGAATTTTTTTTTTCCACTGAAAGATTGTTGTTACCAGTGTTGGGAAGAAGACTGAGGTAAAATGCCATTTTCATTACATCATATTAAGGATACCTACTGGTGTGGCACTGTGGGTTAATGCGTCAGACTACAAAGCCACTTGAACTGCAAGGTCGGTGGTTCAAGCTCACCAGCTCCTCCTTGAAAACCCTATACAAGGGTCACTATGGGTCGGAATCAACTTGACGGCACTTCACAACAACAACAACTGTCAATTATAGGAGTTCTGGTGTGGTGCTGTAGTCTAATGTGCTGGACTGCAAAGTTTCTTTGAGCCACAAGGTTGGCGGTTCAAGCTCACCAGTTGCTCATTGGAAACCCTATATAGACTCAGTCTCCCCAACCTGCCCAGGCTGGACTCACTTTGAGGTATCTGTTTGTCCTCAGTCTCTGAGGGTCTGGCCATTCTGGGGGCACTGGGGCCCCTCTACCCTCGCAGACACATCACTAGTGGGGTGGTCACAAATCCTCTCACAGTCAATGGTTCTGTCCTGTTGGTCATCAGTGGGAGCAGCTGCAGAATGGTTGGGGTTTCCAGGGCCCATTCATTTGGGAGGTCTAGGTATCCCCATTTCAGGGCCCCAAGGCCACCCCTAACTTTGAATAGAAATGAGGTAGTCTCAAATGGTGACCATGGGTGTGGGGTGTCTCCTAGAAGGGAGATGAGGCTATGGGGACAACAGAAGACAGATGGGATTCAGCCTGCTCTTGGGGGGATGGTTTCAAGATGTGGGGGGGACCAAGGAGTAGGGACAGATCTGAACTCCAGGACTGAGGGCCCCAGATCTTCCACACTTCCCACATACTTCCAGGACAAACTACATAATCTGTGGAGCCATATGTTTAAAAAGGTATGAAGGACATGTTATGTAACAAGCATAATCCTGATACCAAAACTAGGTGAAGACAGCACTAAAAAAAATTATAGACTAATATCACTCATGAGGAGTCCTTGTGTGGCGCTGTAGAATATAATGCACTGGACTGCAAGGTGGCCTTGAACCAGACGATCAGTGGTTCAAACTCACCAGCTGCTTCTTGGAAACCCTACACAAGGTCATCATTATGAGTCAGAACT